CCAGTTATATGTAACAAAGAACTCTAATTCAAAACATAAAAATAATAAAATTGGTATCACCAGTCGTTGCGAATATGGTAATGGAAGACTTAGAGGAAATTGCGATTGTAATGTCGCCTGTTCGACTGTTATTTTATTATCGATATGTTGATATCATTTTATCTGCTCCATCTGAAAGTATTAATGACATCTTGGACATTTTCAATTATTTACACACTGAACTACAGTTTACTATGGAAGTTGATATAGATGGTAAATTAAGTTTTTTGGATTGATTATAAATGAACACACACACAGAAATTTATTTTCGATGGATATCGTAAAGCAACCTTTTTCGATAGATTCCTTAATTTTCATTCCTTAATTTCCATCCTTTTTGTCATAAGAGAGGTGTAATTTATGAATCGAGTTGTACACAAAATAATTTGTTTATATCATTCTAAGTTTCAGCAAAATAATCTAATTAATGCTATTAATATTTTTTTAAATAATACCTACTATCTTTTATTTTTTTGATTATTCAAAATAAAATTAAATTTTATATTAACAACAATAGTTCTAATATATAATAAAAATGTTAATTAAAAAAAATTTTTTCAATTCGATATGTTAATTTGATATCAGAAAAATTTACACCAATTATTAACATGTTTAATTGTAAATTAACCGTCACGTTTTAGATTATTTCTGTTTTACTGCCTTGATTATTGTAATTTATGAGCTCGCAACAATACAGAACATGAAAATTACCAGGAAATAAAATTCTGTAGATTTCTAATATAATTTCACAATTATAATCCTTATCGTACAAGTATGAGTCACTAGTGACCGAGCGATTCCTGTTTGTGTAAGTTTCTCGCAAGCTCGATGAATCTCCTGGCGCTTGTTATTTCCCCGTAAAAGAAAGTTTATGGTGGAGATAACCTGTGCGTAGCGAGGCAACCCGGCCATCAATCTGCCTATGACTGGCGTACAATTAAAGTTAGCATGAGACGCTAGTGATCCATGTAAGTGTACAAAGGATGCTTTTTGTGAAAAATAAAAATTGTGTCAAAATCATTATAAGTATCCTATTTTTACTCTAAATTAATGTCTGAGTGTTTGTTTTCATCAAAAAAATTTTTTTTCTAAAAAAATTGTTTATTTTTTGTTATTTCATGTGCAGAAAACCGATTTGTGAGCACCACCGTACTTACGTATGTGTAAACTATAAAACGTAAAACATTTCTTTTATACGTATTTATAAATATGTATTTACATTTTATATATTTTTTCATTAAAAAATATATTATAGTACAACAAAATAAAAAAATGCATATTTAATTCGATTTTTCCTATTTATCCCATGTTGAAAATTGTTCATATTCATGTGCTCAAATAATTCAACTTTTTGTAGAATTCGAAATTCTAATATTTTTTTTCAAACTTTATATCTAAACTACAAAACCATGGAGTCATTTCTTTATATTCATTTATTATGAAAAGTTATAATTTAGTATATAATTTTTTAAATCAAATGCAATTTTTTCACAACCTATGAATCTTTCGGTAATTATAAATTATACTACACTTTATTATTTTCCAAAATAAAGTTTTAATATTTATTCTAGAAAGTTGAAAATATATTAGTGAATTTTTTGAATCATTCTAAATAGGTGAAAAAACGAACGGATTCATGTTTGTACAGATAAAGCACAAAATTGTATCTTGTATGGTAAGGAATAATTTACTGTAACATTGATAATGACCCGATTGGCCTCAAAACGTTTGTTGTAACCAATTTTATTATTTTTATGTTTTAAATTAAAAGTTCTTTGTTACATAACTTGTTCTAAGCCCTTCAAGTGTCTATTTTGTTTATATTATATATTAATATTACGCATTTTAATTTATTTTAATGAATATTATGAATGGTTCTATAATATTATAGATAACATTTGTTCCACGGAATTTCTCCCTTATATATTCCATATTAATAATAAAATTCGGAGCACGTATAATTAATTGAGAGATGATATATCGATTTTTATTAACATGACGTAATTTCTATAAAATTGTAAAGGATGAAAGTTGCACCTTTACTTGGAATTTTATTTGAAATAAATTTAATCTTTTATTTTCGCAATAAAGATGAAAAGAAAAAATAATTCTTTAATAAGTGATAAAATATTACGGATTCCTATACCTATAATGGCTAATTATATATATAAAGTTAAATGAGAAGTATTCGTTGCGTTAGGATACTTTTTTTACGCTTGCTTGTATTAATCTGTTGTTAAAATATTATATTTTAACAAAAAATGAATAGTGAAATAGTAAGGTAAATCAGTGATTAAAATTGTGAATAAAGAAAAAGCTAAAATTTAATATCTACTTTGAAATTGTGTTTGTAAACTTACGGATAAACAAGATAAATATAAGAACAATACATTATAAATATATGAAGAAGATCGATAATAAGAAGAAAACAACGAGACATTGAAATATCAAAATAATAAAACTTTTGAACGTTCTTCGTAAAAATTATCATACGCTAAAATAATTTATTATACGAAAATATATTAAAGAAATGAGTTTTCAATTTATTATAAGTTTGATTATTAATATAATTGCAAGCTAATAACAGTAAGAGATATATTTATTTGAGATCGTTGAAAGAATAATTAATGTAAAAATAATTAATAATAATAATTAATAACAATTAATAAATATGTTTACATTTAATTAAATTATTAATGGATTGTTTAATGAATAAAATACATAAAAATCTAAATAAATATCAATATTATCACAAACAATTATCTAACAATGAATAAGATACTTAGAGAGCAAATCAATAAATTGGTTTGAGCAATTTTGAAACTTGAAGGAATTAATGTCGTACGTGCAAACAAGGCTTTTGGAAGCCTTCAGAATTTAATCCCTAAATATCGAAGGATAATATTGTAAAAAGAAGAGATAGAGAGATTAGAGCATATATCTGGATTCCAATTGAAATTGTTCAATAAAATGGAATAATTTCGATCAGAATCTATTTCAGACGTAGGTATAATAATTCCATAATTATACTCAGTAGAAGAAACATATTAATAATTAAATACAATAAAAGCGTTCAATTTAAGATATGTGGAAGAAGACGGATATTAAATATACAATACAATCATATTTTCAAACAAAAATATAAAATAAAAAATAATACGTCATATTAACACGTTGAAGAATAAAATAAAATCTTATTTATAATCATTTAGCGTCATGAAAGCTAAAATCAGTGATTAAACATAATTATATTATTAACGTGATGTGTGTTAAAGCTAATTAGAATTATCATACCAACAGAATGATACAATGTATAATCCATAAATTATCGTGTGTTTCTCGCAAACATTCATGAAACTATAAACATGTCTCCAGTGTTTCGATATTAACATTATTATCCTTATACCTCGTATGCACGCAATAATAACAGTTTATCACCTTTACCACGTTTATCAATCAAACAGAACATAATAATTGATCGACTGATCTTTATCAATAGGCCAGATTAGATAATATTATTTTATGATTTATAGATTTTAACTATTTTTTAATAATTTTTTAAATCATTGAATATTTAAATATTAATAACAATTTTCAATTCTGCGGTCGTATGTTTTAACAGTAATTTTTAAAACATGGGAAAAATAAGAAATACCTAACATATTACGTATGTATATGATTTTAAAAAATTGCATTAAAAAAACTTGATAGTTGTAAATGTGTAAATATTATATAAATATACATATATATATTTGTTTATTTTATGATATATATAAAAAAAGAGTAATGCTTATGTTCGTGAATAAAGCATTGCAATTATACAAATTTTAGGAGAATATTTGTATTACATATGTTTTATTTAGTGTTTTATGTAAAACAGAATGAACCAACCATACGCACGCATATTGAAGAAATAAATTCCGATATATTGGAGATGTATAATAAAAGAAATCAAATAATCATTTTAGGCTTTATTGAAAAAAGGAAGCATGTGCATAACGAAATAAAACAATAAAAAATAAAAAACAATATGAGATAAAAGAAAGAAAAGTGAATTTATTGGAATGTATTATAGTATAATATTATACATTTACACATTTTACTCGCTTCCTGAATGAATGTGTGAAGTGGTACGATCCAGTACGTTCGACTACTCGTATCTCTACCAGAGATTGCATTTGGTATCGATTGCATACAAACGATATCAATTCGAATGACGACGTTCTGCTAGCATTTCCTCTACAGCTTACATACGGCGATTTCACCCGATTGGTAGCTTTTTCCCCGCGTGTCACTATTAAAAAGGATCTATGGAACCAAGCGTTCGTGTCTCTATTTTCTCGACGTAGCTCACGATTAATCGCGTAAACTCCGTATATCGACGGAAAAAAGATTGTTTTATCTCATATGAAATAAACCGATGAAGAGAACGGAATTTAAAATCACATTTATTATAAAGAAATAAAAATTTTCGAAAGAATAGGAAAGTGGTTTATACAAATACATATTTATTGTACAATAAATTATTGGTTATGTTTATAGATTAAAATTATAATGAACGATATTACTTTTTTATAAAGCAAAAATATATATATACACTACATAAAGTTGTTTTATTTATATCTATTCTTTTATTAAATATATAACTCTTATTTTAAATTTATCATTATGTAACATTACATATAGTTGCAAGCAATTTATATAATTACATGATTAATTTTTTTTATTTAATTACAGAAAATAGCTTTAAACGGAATTTCAAATTAAGCAAATCATTTATTGTTCAAAATTCAATGAATAATTGTGTATATATTTGAACATTACATATATATATATATATATATATGTTTATGATAAATACATAATAACCTTAGACGACTAATACTGGAAATGATATTACGTGAGAAAAGAGACTGAAAAAGAAGGAGATATGTGTAAAGAAGTTTCTAATAAAAACTTACCTGTCAAATGAAATTACGACGAGAGTAAAAACACTGGAAGCAACGGTCACGTGTGCTACGAAGTTGTTGATGGTGCAATACACCATTCCGAAGGGCCAATTAGAGTTAAGGAGGAAGATAAAGTTGAATGCGCAGTTGAGCAATGACATCATAAGATCCGCAATAGAAAGATTTACCAAGAAATAATTAGTTATTGTTCGCATTCGCCGATGAGCTGAAACAAGCAAAAAAAAGGAAAAGCTATAAAAGCCGTATTAATATTTTTATGAGTGTATAATGGAGATGTTTTAACGCAGATGTGTTTAACATTTCAGTTTGTATTTCCTGTTTACAAATTGTGCACTTTCCGCAAAAGCATTATAATGTCTTTTTGCTGTTACTTGAGTACTACAATGGATAATAAATTTTTCCGCTCACGTCCCAGCATGCTTCGACCAATATTAAAATTCCAAACATTTATCACAAACAATATCAAATCTTATTGGATCGTGAGAGTTTTAAACCGATGAGAACATGCCATAACGGTCAAGCTGGATCTCAGATGCTTCTAATATAATTTCGTGTGAATTTATATATATAATATGTACGCACGGAATGCCAGAGATCCGGGTTCGACTCCTGAGGTAATATTTTTCGCAATATAAATTAATTATTTATATATATATCAGATTTTTATATATATCAGATATTTTATATGTCATTCATAGATTTTAATATTCAACATTATTAAGATCCAAGATGCTATGAGCATCAAAATTGTTAGTCAATTTAATTCGTGATAGTAGTTTATTACTTTAGTTTACTCTAATAAACTACTGCAGTAGTTTATTAGAGTTTGCGTTGTAAGTCTGAAAAAAATTTCAGCGTGCATTTAAGAATCTATATACGTAATATATAAATTTACACGAAATTATATTAGAAGCATCCAAGATCCAGCTTAACCGTTATGGCATGTTCTCATTGGTATTTAATTTATCGCAAAGATATCCACGGAAATATCTTTCCGTGAAAAGATGAAACATTTGTATTTGATATTCTTTTCTTTCTATCTTTGTACTATTTATCTTTCAGAAGTTATCACGTTATGAAGAAACAGTGAAAATCGTTAAATTATTTCATACAGACTATAGAAAACCGGAGATTACTTTTGTTAACGAGATACATTATAACATAGAGGTATATCATTTGTTAAACATAATCATGTAGTTATTATTAACTATTTTTCATAGAAGGATATTTTTAATGCTTATTCTGTTTTGTATAATGCCAAACATAAATTTTAATTACATTAAAATAAATTTTAATTACATTAAAATTTAATTTTAATTAATATTTTGCATTTAAATCATACTTTGATATTATTATTACCTTTTTTTCTCAAAATTAAAATATATCATTTAAAATATATTATCGCAATATTTATAAAAAGTCACAATAGGAATTTATGGTTTTATACATGTGATGACACTAACAACGTATTACGTAAAAATACTTTCTAACATCGTGTTACATTAACATTTTTCCATTTAGCTGAAAATGTATAATAGTACTTTGTGACTTACAATTAGAGAAAATTGTTATTACGTTTACTGTATCTGTTAATTAATAATATCTCAAGTGCATAAATATTGATAAATGACATATGTAGACATACATATGTGTATACTAAATATCTCTTAAGAACACTAAATATTTGTTAAGAAAACAAATAACATACAATATATAAATATCCGTAAAAAATACAGAGCTCTGTATCGACTTTTGCGCATGAGTATATTTCACTTGTTTTTCATGATAATCCAATATCTTTTATGAAGGATATTACTGCGCTGAAAACTTTATCAAGTAGAGTATCGCAAGTTTAAAAAGTTAAGAAAACTAGTATATCGTAAAAAGAATAGAATTACAACACGTAAGATCTTAATGCATGGCAACAAAGATTTAGATGTGAAATTTATTAAAGAGAAAATTCAAAATTAATTTAATGTTCTTCAAAAATATACCAAACTAATGTATACTTAATTATTAGATAAGAAAATTTAAATAATAAAAATTTGGATTTATTTCTTTATAGGGGAGAGTAGTCTAAATCGGACCTATTTACAGTTTTTGTTCTCTATAAGGAGTAAATAAAATCTGATCATAAAACCAATGGTGCCGTTAAAAGATCATTTAATTTCCTTCATTTTTGCTTCAGACCATTTTGACGTATCTCTTACCTGTGTCGAAATAATGAAAAATGTAAAAATGCATTTTCTGATCCGATTTGGAACTACGAGTTGAGAGTACCGAGTAGTTCTGAGTAGCGTTTCTTATAGTTCTCGACGAGTTGTATCGAAAAATGTAAGGTGAAATAGCGATTGGACCAACGGTTTGCAAGATACAGCGACATTTGTCAGAAGATCAACAATTTTTAGAGTATATCTCGGAAACCATTGGTCCAATCGCTTTGAGCCCTGATACTTTTCGACAAAACTCGCTGAGAACTGTCTAGAACTCCGAACAGAACTACTCGGTACTCCCAAACAATTTTCCGACGTGGGACTTGGAAAAAAATTTTTGATCAAAAATTTTTTGGGAGTACCGAGTAGTTCTGTTCGGAGTTCTGGACAGTTCTCGACAAGTTCTGTCGAAAAGTATCAGGGCTCAAAGCGATTGGATCAACGGTTTTCGAGATATACTCACTTTAAAAATTGTTGATCTTCTGACAAATGTCGCTGTATCTTGCAAACCGTTGGTCCAATCGCTTTTCCACCTTACAGTTTTCGATAGAACTCGTCGAGTACTATAAGAAACGCAACTCAGAACTACTCGGTACTCTCAAAAAAATTTTCAAAGATTTCTACTACTTTTTTTAAACTTTATTATTCTTCAAAAATGTTTTTTATGTATCAAGAACTCTAGGTATTCACAAAATACTTCTGTTAAGCTGATCAGAACTATTCGACCTTGAATTTCGTTAAAAAGTTAGCACCCCATTTTTAAAAAATTATTAAAAAATGATTATTAAGCGCAATTGTCATTAAAAATCATAGAGAACTCTTCGTATCGTCAAAAAGAAGCAGGAATTATCATTAGAACTATTGTATCTAAAAATTAATTTTTCAAAATTTTTAATTTTTTTTTTATTATTTGAAAATTTTTTTTTACATATCAGGAACTCTAGGCAATCGCAAATTGAAGCTATTAAGCCGCTCAGAACTATTCCACCTCGAAATTCGATAAAAGTTAGCACCCCCTTTTAAAAAAATGTTTATTGAGCGGAACTCTTGTTATTAACTATAGGGAACTCTTCGTCTCGTCAAAAAGAAGTGGGAACTCTAATCAGAACTCCTGAGTACTATAGTTGGGGTGCTAACTTAACATACCCAAATCGGACCTCCCCTATGGACTTTTGGATAGAATTTTAAAATATTTCAATTAATTTTTGTTAGTATCGAGTAAAAACGAGCAATTTAAGACTCACAAAGACAAAAATACAATTTATATTATTAGAATTAAAATTAATAAAAAATTCCATCAATCTGAGTTTGATGACACACGATATTTTATTGATTTAATGTTCCTTAGACGAGATCTGGTCGGTCGATCATCAGTACTACAATCAAGTTGTGGTGAATCGTTTTTCTTTGATGAATTAACTGACTTACTCGTCTTTTTAGCGTTTTTTGTATGGGTTCCATTTGGACACGGGTTCTTTCGAACTATTGGAAAAAATTTTACAATGAACCGCAAAAGTAATCACAAAACTCTTAATATTTTTTAATTCTACACTCTTTAATTATCTTAAATCAATTACCGTTTAAATTTTTAACATCTTTTAAATAATGATTTATAAGAATTTTTTTTTTTAAAAAAATTTTCGCATGATTGTAAAAAATACATATTTACTTCTATTCTATGAACGTTATGACAGAATACTGCCAAACTGCTGTCATATGTTCAGTGTCTCATAAAGACTTTACATTATAAATAGCACGCAAATCTGCTTAACCGTATTTATTTAAATTAAAAAGATTTGGAATCACGGTCCGATTTAGGACATTCTTCTCCTACTATTTAAATTTATGTATATTATATGTATATTGCTTGATACGTTACGTATACAAGGGGGGCACATGAAAAGTTATACCATTTTATTATTTCATTAAAATTGTATTTGTGGAATATAAGTTGTTTTTACTTTGTTAACAAATTCTGTGTATTTTGTGAATCTTTTGTTATTTATTTTTTAAATAAATAAATTTGTTTATTTATAAGGATATTTAATCTGTAAAGTCTTGATAAATAATAAATTTACATTTGTATTATGTAAAGTACACATTTAATTATGTAAAATACACATTACAGGTCACATTTTGAAAAAAAAATCTCTATTGTACTTTAAATTATTAAAATTTTTTAATATATTTTAGCTCTGCCAAATGTAAACATGATATAATTTTCTGCTTTACCATTCAGATAATAAGCGTAAACTAACAAGCTTTTTTTATACGTGTATGAAAGACGTGTTAACTTTTATATTATTTATCACTAGAGTAATGTGTATTTACAATGTGATAAAACTTATTTGTGATAAACATAATTAACACAATTTTTTATATGATTTGAGAATGCAAATAATAACTGTATAAATTATCGTGTAAAAAAGATTTTGTTACATAATAGTTGCTTTCCATTTACACACAAGTGAAACTGAGTCTGAAGTGAGCTGAGTATGAAATACTCAGATTAATGACGTCACTACTTGCTTATTTTGATAAAATTAAGAAATAACAACACAGGTTTATAACTTCACTTTTAAAGTGAGTCTACGAGACTCAATAAAGCACACGGTCTCGAGCTTGTGCAGATTATAGGTTAAAAACTCAGTTGAATCTCACTTCTCAGAATGCAAAAGGAACACGCATTCAACTGAGTAATGATGTCACAAGTGAGAATTATCTGAGAATCAGAGTAAATGGAAAGCAACTAATATTATTCGTATAATAGACTTGATCTAGCTATATGGTATTTCTTCTTTAATAGACATGTAAATAATATCTCTCCTCTTGTTACGTGAATTCGATAGTGATACTTGAGAACGCCATCGCATATAACGAGCGCATGTATATCTTTCTCTCTTATTTAAATAAATTTATTTCATTTCAAAAAATTTTCAAAATTGACATATTAGAGCTAACTGCCTACTACACGACAATGTCGCGTGTGCAA